GTTTTATTGGTAGAGTTGTTCAAGTTAACTTAGATAATGTGTGAAATACTTAGTAACATTCATAGTCCATACTAAGTGTAAATAACTTATTTTATTTTTTCTATTATTTGCATTATTATTAGGCTTAGAAAGATCACTCTGTTACTTGGGTTAGAGTGGAGTAAGAATAATTGCAGCGAGACCTGTTAATAATTCAGGCAAGAGATCATTTTGACCTGGTTTGGGGTAGTGGCAAAGGGATGGGGGTAAAAGATGTTGTTTAAAGGGATTTCAGAGGTAGAATTCTTAGCACTCACTTGGTGACTTAATGTGGGAGATGAGGGAGAGGGAGGAATAAAAGAGTCAAAGTATCTCAAATCATTTTTGGAATGACAGTTATATAAATAAACCCATATCGGCTGCACTAAAATGATATGTTAATGTTTGAAGCTTATTTTTTCCATTTAATAAAGTGTTATTTTTCCAAATGTACAGTTGCCTGGATTTGTTCGTGCATCTTCACCAGCAGCTGGAGCATCTCCATCCTTGGTATTTCTGGTATAGATTACTTGAGCTCTGTGCTTTGAGATCCGTTTGATAAGTCCTTTACTAAGGAGCTCCTGAGGGGCTGCCCTGGCCAGGGAGTCTCGAATCTTTAGTCTCTCAGACACCACAGCTGAGGTTATAAGTTAATAGTTGGGAACTTCCTTACAGAGTTTGTCATAGGTAGCTTTGTCAAACAAGCCAAGTTATTGAGCTTGTCTCGAACTTTGCCTTTGGACCACTTCTACTTTTTGGCCTTGTCTCCTGATTTGTTCACTGGGTCCTTTTCTTTCCTGGCTGACTTTCCGGTCTCTTTCTTCTTCTTGTAGTCCTTGGGTGGCATTGTGAAGCTCTTAGAGCAGTGACGAACACTGCAGCCTCGCTAAGATGTTGGACAAAAAGTAAAGCTAATTTTTACCAAATAATAAGTGATAGATAATGTCCATAGGTGAAACTTAAGAATTTGAAGAACTGAGATAATTTCTCATCTATAAGTAGTTAAATCTCTGAATAGGTTGGGAGAAAAAGAAATATAATTTGAACAAGTATTTTCCCTTTTTTGTTACGTTTCATTTCTTATTCTGCATTTCTTTTTAATTCTGTCATTTTTGTTATTTTAATTATTTTGCTTTTAAAGTTGTTTTTTTTTTTTTTTTTTTTTTTTTTTTTTTTTTTTTTTTTTTTTTTTGAGACGGAGTTTCGCTCTTGTTACCCAGGCTGGAGTGCAATGGCGCGATCTCGGCTCACCGCAACCTCCGCCTCCTGGGTTCAGGCAATTCTCCTGCCTCAGCCTCCTGAGTAGCTGGGATTACAGGCACACACCACCATGCCCAGCTAATTTTTTTTTGTATTTTTAGTAGAGACGGGGTTTCACCATGTTGACCAGGATGGTCTCGATCTCTTGACCTCGTGATCCACCCGCCTCGGCCTCCCAAAGTGCTGGGATTACAGGCTTGAGCCACCGTGCCCGGCCCTCTAAAGTTGTTTTAATTTTATTACGTTGAACCATATAGAAGTTGCAATGTTTGCAGATCAGAAAATATTTAACCAGCAATAAAATGGTTAAGTATCGGTAAGTTGGTAATTATATTCTTGTTCAGTAAGAGGCTTTAACTGGCATTATGGGAGTCCATTTTGAGTTAGATTGAGTGCCAAAGCCTTTCTGAAGGAATGTTGCTCTGATGGCATAAGAACAAGTGGAACAGAGCCCCATGAAGTAGACAACTTCAACCCAGCATCATTCTTTCTTGCTAAGTTGATATGGCTATGAATACTTAGAAACTGGAAAATTCAGACAATATAGAAAGCTATAGAGAAGAAAGATTTTTTAACGACGGTTATCCCACCATCCAATGATAGTGTTGATTTTTAATGTAGTTCCTTTTAGTCATATATATATATATACAGAAAGTTACTATGCCTTCATAATAGAGAGAGGATAGATCATGAGACTGCATTATTTTATTTTTATTGTATTTTTAATCAGCTTATAATGTACATATTTATGAGGCATATGATGTTCTGATACATATAGTATATAGTGATTAGATCATGGTAATTGTATACATACCCACCATATCTAACATTTATCATTTCTCTATGCTTGGAACATTCACTAACCTTCTAGCTATTTGAAACTATATGATATTAACTGTAGTCTTCCAACAGTGGTATAGAACACTAGAATTAAACTGTGTTATTTTAAAGAAGAAATGTACATACAGATTTTTGTTAAGGATACAGATTTATAGAGCCTCTGCAAGTCATTAGTAATTTGTCTCTTTTGAAGAAAATGTTTTTCCTTAATCCAAAACAAAACATTTAATTCTTCATTGATTCAGTTAAATGCGGCTATTAGGCTTTTTTTTTTTTTTTTTTTTAAGTTTCTTAAATGAATGTTTTGGTTGTAGCTCCTAGAGTGATTTCACTAAAATAGAAACAAAGTTGAAAATTGTTACTGTACTAATGACAGTAATGTAACAGCTTGTAGTTTTATTGCAATTTTATAAATTTTTAATTCTTTCAAATTCAGCCATTGTATTGTCTGTTTTTATCAGCATAACTATCTTGTTTTATACATGAGAAACCACAGAGAGAATAAGTTACATGTCCAAATTCACAAGTAGTAGTAGAAAGGCCTAGACTTTTTACTTTGGTTAATTCTTTTTCTGTTTATTGAAATACAGTAGTAACTCTCAAAAATCACTCCGTTATTCAGTATTTATTAAGTGCTCAGTGAATACGATTTAAAAATAAAGCCTATGGAAAGTGTATAGAATAAGGAGTATTGGCTGGAGGGCAAGGTATTTGGGGGAAAGTAAAATAATTGAGATCAGGGTAGAAAGGCAGTAAGGGAGTCATAGACTCTTCTTGAACAATGGAGTACAATAATAATGTGTGCATATTGGATATTTAACTAGGCAGAAATGAAAAGATTAGAAGAACGAACAAAACTGTAAGGAGGAAACACATTTGAGAACTGTTGTGGAAATATATTTTTAGGACTTGGTGGACTAAGAACAGTGCTTTGAGGGAGAGAGTAGATGATTCCTAAGTTTCATACTGGAATGCCTGGAAAAATGTTGGAAAATTACAGAGGCTTATTTGGTAGGAAAATGGTTATTTATTTTGGACATGCTGTGGTTGAAATCTCTACAGGACATCCAGGTGGAAGATGTATGACTGGCAGGCAAATTGTAGATGGAAAAGGGAGCTGAGGAGTAAAAGGGCTGGAGACCTAGGCAGAGAAATTATTTGTGTTGAGGGAACAATTGATGCGGTATCATCATTCCTTCTTTCCAGGTACCTTCAGTGCTTTGCATATGCATAGCCTCAGTGTATTTGAGTAATGTGTGACAGAACTGTATTCAGATACCTGTTGTATGACTTAAAACTGTACAGCCTCAGTAAGAGTGGGCACTTCAGGATTCAAAGGAGCCCAGCCTTAAGCATGTCAACATGATTGGCAGGAAAACACTGGTTCTTCAGGCAGGCTAATTTAGTTGTAGGAGCAGAAAGTAAGTAAAGTTATATACCTTCTCTGTGCTAGGTATTGGTAAGCCTTTTGTATATACTTTATGTCTCAACAACCCTGTGAAGTAAGGAGTGTTGTTCCCATTTTGCAACGATGAAACAGGCTTACGAGACGATAAGTAATATTAGAGCAAGAATTTGAACCTTCAGTGTTCCTTCGATGCTATTGGTCTTTTTACTGTGCCACACGTTGCTCTGTTTCCCAATAAGACCTGTCAAATATTACTATCAGGCTTATGCTTAAGTAGGTTTTTTATTTTGGCATTATGGCTGCACCTGGGACTGGCCAGACAGCTGCTGCTGCTTTGGATTTAAAATGTAATTCGTTGCATTCTGATTATGGGTGCCCATTTATCTGTAATCAGAACACGTGTATAAAATGAATAAAAATGAAAGTTGGATCACATGTTTTTGCTCAGGTGCATACCTTTTGGAATGCTTTCAAACACCAACATTTGTTTATTGTCTTTTACTCTGCTGGATATGTGGAACTTTATTTAGAAGGATTAATTGAAAGTTCAGAGATCCCTAGAGGAAAAGATAACTAAAATTACACATTTTCATAGCACTCTTGTTAGCTGAAAATTGTCAACATTTATGACATTACCAGGAAAACCACAATCTAATCCCAGTTTGCATTGTTTTAAGTAGGCAGAAACAAGATTGTATATTCTAAGATACAAAGGCTTATTTGTGCCATGAAACTTCCTGTAATATCCATGCCTGAGTAGAAGAAGGTATATTTACTTTTCTGTCTTTTGTTTATATTCTTGTATACTGCTCAGCAAATTCGAAGCAAGAAACATCATCTCAAAACTATAGGGTAGTGTCAAATACAGGAACAATGTAATTTCTCTAGTATTCAGAATAGGAGATACTTTGTTTTTCTCTTGAAAAGTGATTTTAAAGTTTCTTGGCCAATATTCAGTGAATCATGAGAGACAAAATTAATGAATAGCCTTCTAGCTAGACCTTCTTGTTCAGCTGAATTATGTTTCTCAGTTGCCATACGCTTAAAGGAAGTTAACATGCTTCCTTTCTTTAATATTGCTCTTTGTTCTTTGGGAAAATGCCATAAGAAAATAGGAAGTACCTCTCTAGCAGTGTGTTTCAGTCTAATTACTGACACTGACACCCTGTTCTGTTACTACTCCTTCTCCTTGCTAGCAGCCTGAATTCTGCTTATCTACTAAAAGGGGGATTCCAGACAGACGAGGAAACAGCTTTCAAATGATATACTGCAGGCGTACCGAGCTATTCCCACACTGTGCAGTCTGGAAATCAGGGGGCACCTCTTTGACGATGAATTCCAATTAGTTGCTAAAGATGCCAGAGTGTGTGCGTGCACAGTCGTTTTCTTTCCCCTCCCCCTTTCTTCCTTTTTCCAAGCCCCCTCTTCTCCCTGTTTCCCCTCCTACTCCTTTATCCCCTCCCTCTGTGTCTCAGTTCTGCAGTACTCGGGGTTGAAGCACATTCCTGCTCTGCAAGGCTTTCTGTTAAGGATGTATTGTGGCTTTTGTTTGGATTGCAGCATGCAGAATTACAGGTAACATTCTGAAATTGAACTAAATGGTAAATTCTGTTGAAATGTTTTCAAAGAGGCAAAATGTTATATTGGAATCAGTGAAGAAAATAAATTATCTTGGCTAATTTTATTAGTGGTAATTGTAGTGAAAGATTTTCATAAATGTTATAAGCAAATTCCTTTTCTCCCCCAAGTCTCAAATGAAAGGAAATGGGGGTAAATCAATCTGACCGTGATTCATTTTGTTTTATGCTGATCTTGAAAGCTTGATGTTGCTGCTGCTACTCTATACCGTACGGATCAGTTATATGGGGTGCTATTGTGGGTAGCCATGAATAGTGGTGCCAGTAGGGGTGGAGTGGGAGGGATGATGCCAGCCTGAGCTAGCCAGGTTCTTTGATTAGGGCATTGGATGTGAAATGTAAAATGCTCTCTCCTTTTCTTCTATCAGCTGTTCAGAGGAGACTCATTACAACTCCTGCTGAAGCTCCTAATCTTCTTCCCTTCTCTTCTGCCCTTTCCCCCTACCCTCACTTGGCCTGAAGACGTTGTCCCCAGAGTTTGCCTTACTCCCCTGGTGCTATGTGTATGGTGAACTTGGCATTATGGCCGCGTTTGGAACTGGCCAGACAACTGCTGCTGGCTCTCCTTATTCCAAGAAGGATTTAAAGGGGAATTGCACTGCAGGCAATGCACCACAGCAGCAGCATCAGGAGCTTGGGGACTAAGGCTCCTCTGGCATTATTACATACATGCAAAGCTGACCGCGATGACAGCGGCTGCTCCTTTGAACTGTTGGAAGCAGCCAAGCGGCAGCATGAAGTGACAGATCACTCCTGAGCTCAAGATGAACTCCACCTTGGATGGTAATCAGAGCAGCCACCCTTTTTGCCTCTTGGCATTTGGCTATTTGGAAACTGTCAATTTTTGCCTTTTGGAAGTATTGATTATTGTCTTTCTAACTGTATTGATTATTTCTGGCAACATCATTGTGATTTTTGTATTTCACTGTGCACCTTTGTTGAACCACCACACCACAAGTTATTTTATCCAGACTATGGCATATGCTGACCTTTTTGTTGGGGTGAGCTGCTTGGTCCCTTCTTTATCACTCCTCCATCACCCCCTTCCAGTAGAGGAGTCCTTGACTTGCCAGATATTTGGTTTTGTAGTATCAGTTCTGAAGAGCGTCTCCATGACTTCTCTGGCTTGTATCAGCATTGATAGATACATTGCCATTACTAAACCTTTAACCTATAATACCCTGGTTACACCCTGGAGACTACGCCTGTGTATATTCCTGATTTGGCTATACTCGACCCTGGTCTTCCTGCCTTCCTTTTTCCACTGGGGCAAACCTGGATATCATGGAGATGTGTTTCAGTGGTGTGCAGAGTCCTGGCACACCGACTCCTACTTCACCCTGTTCATCGTGATGATGTTATATGCCCCAGCAGCCCTTATTGTCTGCTTCACCTATTTCAACATCTTCCGCATCTGCCAACAGCACACAGAGGAAATCAGCAAAAGGCAAGCCCGCTTCAGCAGCCAGAGTGGGGAGACTGGGGAAGTGCAGGCCTGTCCTGATAAGCGCTATGCCATGGTCCTATTCCGAATCACTAGTGTATTTTACATCCTCTGGTTGCCATATATCATCTACTTCTTGTTGGAAAGCTCCACTGGCCACAGCAATCGCTTCGCATCCTTCTTGACCACCTGGCTTGCTATTAGTAACAGTTTCTGCAACTGTGTCATTTATAGTCTCTCCAACAGTGTATTCCAAAGAGGACTAAAGCGCCTCTCAGGGGCCATGTGTACTTCTTGTGCAAGTCAGACCACAGCCAACGACCCTTACACGGTTAGAAGCAAAGGCCCTCTTAATGGATGTCATGTCTGAAGTGGCTCAGATATGGGGTTTCCCTGTGTATGTGTGTGTTTTATCTCTAAGTATTTCTAATTCATTAGGAAATCTGGGACAGAATACTTTGACTCTAAGCAATAGCATACAAATGATTTGTATGAATACCTTCTAAGTTTGTAGAAATGGTTTTCAAAAGTGCTTTTGAAGACTCAAGATCATGAAGACAAATTGCTCCTGGTTCCAATTTTTGAAATGTTTTGGAAATGACTACAGTTCTCAGATTTAAAATGAATAAAGCCATATCTAACACCTCTCCAGCTGGCATGACTGAACCTGAGTGCGAAAAGCGTCAGCATTTTAAAAAGTCATCATTTTCTTGTCACTTCTGGGTTCTTTCCAGCTATTTGGGCTTCATGTGCAATTGATTTCTTCTAACAGGGAATAGTAAAATATAAATTAAGAGGTTTTAGAAATTACTTTTTATGTATGCTGAAGTATAACTACACTGCAAGTTTCAACACTGTCATTTAGAAAGCCAAATATTCTATGTTTTATTCTCTTAAGAGAATTCTCAGTAGAGTGAATAATGTGAACACATAAACATGAATTTTAGAATTTTACAGTGAACCATGAAGCAAAAGTGCAATCAACTTACACAGTTTATGAAAAACAGCTATTTTTTGTGCCATGCTTCACAGAGATCTAAAGTTAAGTGTGCATAGAAGTGATCATGTTTGTAGTATTTTTGCCCATGCCTTTGTGTTATGTCTATATTTAGAATATCTGAATTGTTAGATTTCTCTTTTATAGCCAAATGTGTTTAAATAAGCTAAAAAACAATTGATAGGCTGTTGGCTGTCGGTTTTATACTGGTGACTATATACAAAAATGTGTCATTAATATTCTCTGTTCTTTCTATCCAAAGACTTCCGAAATATTAGAACATCAGGGAGAAGGGTATATGTCATAAGAAACTGAGTCAGAAAGTATACTGTAGTATACTGTTTTGTTTGTTTGTTTCTTTTTGTTTGTTTGTTTATAGAAGGGAGTTGAGACATTTTCTTTGTGGTTAAATGGAATCAACTAAGTATTTTTGAAAAGTATTCTTTCAGTTAGTATTAAGGAATCCATATATGAAGAGGGAAAGGGGAAACTCTAAGTCTCTTATTGCTATTCTCTTTCTGGAAAAAAAAAATCCTTTGGCATACAGTTCTTAATAGTCTTTTTTTCCCCTTTCAAAGTATTAGCAAAACCTACTGGATTTTATTCTTCTGTAAAATTATTATTGAGAGTTATGTGTGTTTGTATGTAGTAGTGATGTTCGTTCTTAAAAGTGATTATCTTTAGAGCAAGAGGTTTATTTTTCTAAAAGGAGAGAAGAAATTCCGGCAGCTCCAGGCATGAGAGTATTTCCTCTACTTTTGTGCTGGTTTTAATGTTTCGAGAATCTTCAGGGGACTTACTTGATCTCTCCCTTTGGTTAGATGTTGTAATCTGAATGCAACAATGGTGATCAGTGAGATGGAAGATGGAAGAAACCCAGGGAACATGGGTTAAAGTGGATTTCTGAATCCAAGAAAGGACATAGGTATTTATAAAACAGGCAGATAAGCTTTGGTTTTCCATCATGATGCCAGTGTTCTTATGATTTTAGGCTTTAGACATCAACTTGACTTCAACCTCAGTTGTGTTCTATTTCAACTTTAAGTGACTAAGCATTATATAAACATTCAAACTTCAGATTCTGGGTTTTTCCCAAAAGCTTGCTTGCTCTTTATGTTTAGTGTTAGCAAATTTTATTCTAAGCTGTTTCAAAATTTAGAACTCATACTAAGATCGCAAGTTATGTTAGAAACGGCTTGGTTAAATTGTCATTTCATGTGGGAAAACTTTTCTGTTGGATTCTGAAAAATCTTTGTATCGTATACATCTCCCTTTTAAGTGGTACAGATCTGAAAAAACCAAAATTTACCTTTTTTTATATATGTTAGAGAATGTAATCTGTTCACATTTGCAGTTCGCTTATGAATTTTTAGTTTAGAAAATATGGCAATTTAAAACACTTAATTTTTGTAGAAAGATTTGTTAAATCATTAGGTTTGATCTGATTTTGTTGTGTGTATATGTGTTGGGGAAGAGGAGATGGAGATGCTCCTGGACACAGTAATGTCCTCTTCAGTGGCTGGGGGTGTTTTCTATGTGATAGGTTTGGAAAGTTCATATTTAACTGATCTTTTCATCCTGGAATATTTAATGCAGCATTTGATGACATTTAGTTTAAATACCAGTCAGACTTCAAAAAAAAGTATATTTTTACACTCAGTTACCTTGGCATTGATAGGATAGCTTATTTAATTTTATATTGGACGTGACTGGTATCAGAGGAAACATATGCTTTTGGTGATTATGTTGAAATTATTTCATAGTAAATTTTAAACTAGACTAATGTTAAATTTGTAAACTAGTTTCAGTGAAAGTGGTTTGTTTTTTGCCCCCTTCTTAGAGTAGACAAGCAATTAGAAGTAAACTCGTGTGCTCTACTTCAGTGAGAGCATGATCTTAACACTAGAATGGATATTTACATTTTTTTCATCAGCCTGTTGACTCTTACCCAAAATTTCATTTTGGAAAAGGTTTTCTTTAAGCTTTATTGCTGGATAAATTCTTTTTAAGCCTTTTATGATGGCTTTTCCTTTTTACTTGAATAATAGTCTCAGTATTTTAAGGATTGGGAAAACTTGAATTTTTGTACCATAAATGCATTGTCCACCTCCTTGAACTTGAAAATGAAGCAACAGGGTTATAGACTCCCAGATGGTGGAATGGTTTCTGGGAGGGTTTTTCCTCAGCTTTTCAGGTTTGTTTGAAAAATCTGCACGGTGACTTGGTATAGGAATTATCTTAATTTCACTGACTGTATTTTTGTTTCATAAGTTGTTCTCAGCATGCCAGAATTTATTGTTATATGAGCAAAGTTTGGGAAGATTAAGAATGGGAAATTTGTGGCATTAAGATTTTTTTAAAGTCCTCATAAATCATTTTGTATGTTGATTTTTGTGTAATTTTTTTCATTTCGGGTAGAAGAAAAACTAAACATAAGTATTTACATTAAATTTAGATATTATTATGTTGCAGACCTTGGAAATATTGTAGACATTTCTCATGGCTGTAAACAAGTCATTTGGCCTTTCTTCAAAATTTGTGTGACAAAAGGGCATCATATAGTAAAAATGAAGTTGGAACTGAGAATTTTAAAATGTAGGTTTCTGTTTCTAAGTAGTTTTGTAAATAAGGACAAGTCACTTCTCTAAGCATTTAATTTCTTGTAAAAGGAAATATAGATCCCTTCATACCTCATACTGTTAGTTTGAGGATTGAGTTAAATAATGGATGTAAAAGTACTTTGTAAATCGTAAAGTGCTTTGCAAATAAAAATGGTTACTATTATTTGTATCCACCATTCTTCTACATGTAAGGAAGCCATATATCATGATGTGTTCCCTCACACTTAGATCTTTGAAGCCCAATGCTACATCACTGCTCTTTGCTACTTAGCAATCCCAGACCTGAGAAGAGAAGCAAAATAAATACTCACCCTCCTAAAATTATAATAGCTTTAAATTCAGCATAAAACCACTTTGATTTACTTGTCTTCAAACTCTCTGAAGGCAAGGGACAGTGTCTTTTATCTGTCTGGATAATAATTTTATCCCCTCAATCTGATATGGGATCTGGCTCAGAGCAGAAGTTTCATAGAATGAATAAATGACTCTGTAATTATTGCATTTAGTCACCAGCCTTTTTCTTTCTGTAAGGAATTATAGGACAGTGATGTTCAGAAGACAATGCAGATCCCCATAACCAATCTTCCATTTGCCCTAGGTTATTTCAGATTTTAAATCTTAAATGATATCTTTTTGGTATCAAGAGATTAATGTGTTAATGTGAGTCCTCTATATGCTTAGGTAACTTTACTCCTGGAAACTCTAGCTTTGGCCCAGAGAGCTTCAGGCAGTGCTTTCAAATTGCCAGTTTTTTCACAACATGGATCAGGTATTTGGATCACACCTTCTTGGCTCTGGATCCGGATAAGGCTCTGTAAAATTGGTGACAAGGGCAGAGGAAGCATAGAAAGCTTTGGTGTGTGGTTTTGCTTTGTCTCCCTTTCAGCCTTTCCCAGTTTTCTAGGTCTGTCTTTCCTTCTTCCTTTCTTTTCTTACCACACTATTGCTCATGTATCCAGAAAGAAGTATTTCTTTGATACTGCAATAGGGTGTGGAAAATTGTGTTATGTAAGAGCAGTGGGTTTTAGGGAAAGTTTAAGAAACAATCAAGAAGCACTTATCTGGCAAGTTCTGCTGTATGCCAGGTAATGTAACTAGCCTCAGGCAGGGATCATAGGAGGATCATTTCTTTCTTGTAGAACTATACAGTCTTTAGGTGTTCCATGTGGAAAAATTCTGTGATTATCAGTCTTCCAGGAAGCTCAGTGTTCTCTACTTTATCTGCAAGAATTTACCAAGACTTCCTGGTGGGCCACTCCCACAGCACTGTTTTTTGTGGCGGAGGGGTGGTGGTGCAATTATATGATGCCGATATATAAAATCATAATGTCACTTTATTAGTTTAAGAAATAGATGCTGGTGATTGAGCGCAGTCTTCTCTATTAGTAGATAGTTATGGGAAGCCAAACCATATTCAGAAGGTTGCTTTGTTGGAATGGAACCTCAGAACATGGTTCTGTAATGTGAACATTATTGGGATCATAGTAAAAGATGAAATCATCCCTGCTTCCATATTAACTAACCTACCTTCTCATTGACATGTTATGGTATTTCCTTAGTTCAATTAACTTCTTCTGTTACTTGTCTTTTAGTTAAATTCCTTGCGAGTCTTAGTATCTGCAAGCCTGCCACTCATTCTTTCTCTTTAGGGTGGTTTTATATCCCCAGCCTTATCTTTTATCATAAAACATACTAGTTTTGTGACGTATTATTCAAAATACACCTTTATTCTTTACATTAGTTTGGGGGAGCAGCTCATCTCAGTTTTCATGTAGTACCTATTTAGAAAAGCAAAATGTGTGAAACTTCCTATAAAAATTAATAGTATCTGATAATTAGGGTTGTGATATGCAGGTTAGATCATGTCTAGCAAAGGAGGCAGGGAGAGGCAGATGAGTCCGAAAGGACCTTAGAAATCATTTGGTCTGACTCTGTTATTTTGCAGACTAGAAACCTGCCCTGTGGCCACTGGGTTATCTATATATGGTAATACCCAGACTTCATGCTTCCTAATCCGTTGCCCTTATCTAGCACATCACATTGCTTTTACAGAGGAGTTGGAATTTGACTTGACTCAGCCATGCCATGGGTGGACACATGTGTACATGTGTGTAATTCTAAGGATAAGAAGTATGAGCAATAATACAAATGTTAATTGAGGCTCATTATGTTTCAGGAGAATTTTATAAACTTGATGTTAATACTTCCAATACTGTAGGAGCTAGTGTCTATTATTAAACAGATTTTGAATTGCCAGAGTCAGACAGCTTATAAGTGGAAGATCTGGAATTCAAACGCAGAACTTCCTGACTCCAAAGCCTACATTCTTACATTAATTTTTTTCTTACATTCTACATTTAATTTCCACAGCAACCTATCAGGTAGTAAGCCTGTGAAGAAACACAGACTTAGAAAGGTTAAGAAGCTTCTTGGGTTACATATATAGTATTTTATGATTCAGATCCAATTCTTTGACTCTAAAGCTTGTGTTTTGTACCATTATATAAGCCTCGGCTTGAGAAACATGACAGACCTCCGGCTAAATATAACAGGTTGAATATGCATATTTCTGTTAACTCCACTATAAAGAATAGCAAAGGTATAATACATGTGGAGACAAAGAACAGAGATGGCAGACAGTAATGCCAGCAAAATTTTGGAATATAGACATCTAGTGGATAAGTTGTAACTGACTGAGCAGAATCAACAGAGCTGCTTCCTAAAGTCAAATGAGGAAGAGGAGCAAAAAGAAACAGGCTGATTTATCCATTGACTACAGTAACTATTTGGGAATTAGATTCCTAAGATGTCCCTATAAACATAGAGACTGAAAAACAAGAATTGATAGAAGCTGAAAAACAGAAGAATTGATAGAAAGTTTATATGAGGAACATTTAGACATTATCACCCCTCACTCCTCTTCCCCATCCCACCTGAATCCCTATCCCAAGCAGGCAACTCATTCTTACCATCAAAGCAGAAGATGGGAGATTTACTCTTTGGAAAAGCTGAACCACTCTGGATGCTAGGCATAGCTGAGAATGGGACCAAGGTGTGCTTTGTTGCAAACATGACTGCTATAAGAAAGTCTGTATGTTAAATAATCAGCTCCTTTGCCCGCTACAGTCTCAGAGTGTTCTAAACAGGATATAAGAGGAGTATATTTTGGAGACTGACATTTGAGGGCTCACAAACAAAACAGCCACATTCCCTGCCCCGTCACTTTAAGGTGATGCCCATCAATCAACAGATCCCACCCATGCACACAGAGCTCACAGTTTTTTATTGCTTCTCTTTTAATATTAACAGATAGCCAGAGATCAATGCAGTTTTGAGAAAACGTTTTCACATAAAGTGCAGAGTCAAAAACAAGCAAATGACAAAAATCAGAAGAAACAAACAGTGTACATTGCTGAAGAAAACATCCAAAAAAACTCAACTGTAACTAACATTTTCAGAGAGGATTTTGCATCCATTAAAGGAGAGGAGAACAGAGTGCCATAAAAATGAATAGGAAGAGGTCCGGGCACAGTGGCCACACCTGTAATCCCAGCACTTTCGAAGGCCGAGGCGGGTAGATCACGAGGTCAGGAGATCGAGACCATCCTGGCCAACATGGCGAAGCCTTGTCTCTACTAAAAATACAGAAATTAGCTGAGTGTGGTGGTGTGCACCTGTAGTTTCAGGTACTCGGGAGGCTGAGGCAGGGGAATCTCTTGAATCCGGGAGGCGGAGGTTGCAGTGAACCAGAATGGTGTCACTGCACTCCAGCCTGGCAACAGAGTGAGACTCCTCCTGAAGAAAAAAAAAAAAAAAAAGGGAAGAGAACAAGAAAGAACGATTGCAATTTAAAGTATAATAAGCTATTTATTTATTTAGTAAGCAGGTTAGAAAATGAAGTAGGACAGATGGTGAAACAAAAAGAGAGATTGAAAATAGATGAAAAAACAAAACAATTGGAGGTTTAATCAGGGAAACCCAATAGCTGACTAACAGGATTTTCAGAAACATAATAGAGGAAAAGAAAGGAAGAAATTATTAAATATCACAAGAAAAATTTCCAGCACTGAAGGGTATGTGTTTCCACAATGAAAAGGCCCATTTCAGTGTAATAAAAAGATTCACATGATGGCAGATTGTTATAAAATTTCAGAACAGTGGGGATAAAAATTCCTAAAAGGTTCTTGAATGGGGTGGGACGTGGATGGTAGAGTCTAAACATACAAAGTGTAGGGATTTGAGTAGCAGTGGACTTTCTGCCATGTTGAAGCAAGAAGGTAATGGGTAATCACTTCAAAATTTTGGTGAGAAGTGATTTCCAACCCACAATTTTATGCTCAGTCATTCAAGTGTGAGGGTAAACTAAACTTATTTTGAGATCTGCAAAATCACAAAATATTCACCTGCCTTACATTCTCAGGAAGTTACTGAAGGATATGCTTCTCCAGAATGAGGGAGGAAATCAAGAAAGAGATACAGAATCCAGGAAACAGGGTCTCTGACACAGGAGGATGGTGAAAAGAATTCCCACAGGAAGGAAAGCTCTAGGAAAGCAGTTATGCAGGAGAGCTAGAGAGCAGCAGGAAGAAATAAGGTGCTAAGAGGTATGTCTCTAGGAAAATATAACTGGCATTTTCACCATGGTGAGAAGAACTTAGTTTTGTCGCAATTTTAGGGGAAGGATTGGTGATAGATACGTATAAAACCAAGGAAAAAGAAAGGATAGGCAATTAATAACTTCAGAAAAAAATAGAAAATTGAAGAAAGGAAATACAATCATGACATACTCTGATTCAGTTATGTGCTACTGTGTATAGTTTGGTTTTTAGCTGAAAACGATAGCAACACTATGTTGACAGGGTGAGGGGAAGGGAAGTATTTGAGGGGTCGGGGGAAGGAAGGTGGGTGTAACAGAGCTGCAGTAGCATCTTCCCTACTGTAAAGTCTGAAACTGATGGCTAAAGTGGAAAAACCCAGAAAATAGCAACTTAAGCATTTTATTCAGAAATATGAATTAAAAACAAACAGCTTTAAAAAAAGGAGATATGAAAATGCTTGCCTCTAAGAAATAGAATATGAGAAGTGAAGGGAATTTCATTGTAAACTTCGTACTATCTGACCTTTTCACTTATGTAGCTGTATTATTTTCTGTGAAAAGCATAGACCACATTTAGGAAAAAACAGATGTATTTTAACAGAAATAAAGGGAAACCAGGAAGGAGGCACAGGTTTAGAACATTTCTGAAATAGTAAATGAGGGCATGATAATACTGTTTTACCTATGGCTCTTTACAAAGCAGTTTCCTATTAATTGTCTCATTTCATTCTCCTAGAAATATAGGCAAAGTCAATATTGTCCCTTTTTTCCAGTTGTGGAAATGGAGTTTTGGGACTGTAAGACTTTTTTGGTTTCCAGTCTACTGTATCACTGCACCTCTGTAGGTGTCTGTTTGGAACCTTTCAGATTTTGTAACTTTGTTTTTTACCAAGAGAAGACACAAAGTACTGGAATGTATCCTTCTTTGACATCATGGGAAGGAATATAGGAAAATGTGTGTGTGTGTGTGTGTGTGTGTGTGTGTGTGTGTGTGTGTAACTAGTATGTGTATGTGCTGGTACTCAGGAGTATCTATAATACATGACATGGTATTATGAAATGATGAGAGGAATGCAAAATGTTTTGTAGTGTTCAAAAGCAAGGAGGTGCATGTTAAATACATTTCCTTAGAAGGCAGTGTGAGAGATGGCTCAGGGTAGAGTAGAATTTCTATAGTCTGATTCCTTTCCTCACCCCACACCACCCTCCGTGAATGAGATTTCGTAAAGTATCCAACTGGACAGAATTAAAGGAACCCACAG